GGCTGGCTGGCATGTGGTGCTGGGGGATCGAACCGCGGTCCCTATGCTTTTCCAAGCTTGTTCCAAATAGGTGCTTTAGACCACTGAGCCATCTCTCCAGCCCCTGTTGGGGTTTTGCCCTTGTGCTTGCCAGGGAAGTGCTTACTCTACTGAGCCATCTCCCCGCCCCCCCCCTTAGTATTCTTAACACTTTAGTGCAAGATTGGGGGAGGGGACGACAGAGGATGAAATAATGACTCATTTGAAATTTGCAGACCATCTTGAATTCTCTAACTTTGTTCAGTTGGCCACAGAGATTTAAGAGTAAGCTGTTTTCTAGAGTGACATAAGGAATGAAGAGAACTTAAAACAAAGTACTTAGCCATTCTTCAGATTAAGAAGAAGAGATGTTGTTGGGAAGAGGTTTACAGGGAGATATAGAATTACTCTTAAGCACGCCCCAGAAAGAGACACTTATAAAAACAGCTACTGACCTTTTCAGTCAGAGTTTTTGTTATGATGTCCGCTAGGGGCTTAGGACCATATACCTAAGATCAGGACTTACTTTAGTATACTGAATATTTTTAGGTTTGGACATTTTCATGGTGGCCCGTCTTTGTCCCTGGAGAATAGCGGAGAATTTCCTGGAAAAAAACACATGCACAGCTCTAAAGACTGCCACAGCCCCACCCCTGCTGGCTCCTCTTTCAGCTGTCCCCACAAACAAAAGTCAGCCCAGAGCAGCTGTAGACACTGCCCCTCCCTTCAGCCTTCCGACAGCGGGTCCAAGGGAACCCAGAAGCTGGGATGGCTTCAAGGAGTTGATAGTTCCCTATGACTTGACCCTTTCTGCCTACCCTACAGGCTGGGCCACCATCCCTATCCTCAGGCCCTGGGAGAAAATGATGAAAAAGGGAACAAAAAAGTCTCCTACATGGACAGGAAATGAGCAATTTTCTCTAGGCACCACCCCCTCCACATTCATTCAGCCACCCTTGGAAAAGAAGAGACCCTCTGACCCCACCCCTGCTGGTGGCCCAGCTCCTTCAAGTGGTCAGGTCTGGTAAAGCTTTCTGAGGTGGCTTTCACACTAGGTCCTCTCCACCTGTGATTTGGGATCTTTTCCTGAGCCAGACTTCTGATACAAACTGAAAAAGAACTAGAACAACAGAAAGTTAAGTTTGGGGTCGAGGGGTAGTTCTTTGGTTTAGTGTCTGCTTTAGCAGGCATGAAGATCCTGGTTCAATCCCCGGGATGACAAAAAGAAACAAAATAAAACTGAATTTCTATAAAAATGTCAAACCTGTACTATTGAGCACCTATAGAAAAAGGAAGATTGCTATTTTAAAACTAAAAACACAGGCTGAGGCACCATTTGAAGCCTTAGACTGCTAAAACTGATGTGCCAAGGAAAGGACTGTTCTGTTACTTCCACCACCATGGAAGCCATCCTGAACTAAGACAATAGCTCACAGGCTCCTGGAACTGAGGATTGCACTGCTGCCTGAAGTGGAAAAGCAGGAGCATGACTAGAACTTTGAATCTCCACTGCAGGATTAGCTGAGATCCTGGGGTACCCCTCCTCCTCCTCCTCTTCCTCCTCCTCCTCCTCCTCCCTTTGCAGAACTGGGGATTGAACTCAGACCCTTATGCTTGCCAGGGAAGCGCTTATTCCACTGAGCCATCTCCCCAGCCCCCCTTCCTGCATTATTGAAAGATGATACTAACATTGTACTCATCTTAGAGTTCTGAAAACAAGTTCTGAGAGGGGTTGAGTGGTTTGCTTAAAAGTAATCCGAGGCTTTTGATCTCACTTTGTGCCTGTATGCAAGCCTCTTTCTCTTCCTTAGTATCTCATCATTGCGTCTCAGCAGAGCCTAGGGAAGTAGTGGGTTGAGGACTGAGTGAGTGGCTGTTTAGAGGGTGAAGACTAAAGGAAGATGCCACACTGAGGGGGACTCAGACCCCAGGTATAGCTCTTACGGATGCCAGCTGGGAATAAAGGTGGGCTCTACACTGGGCTGAAGCCATTTGCTCCCAAGCCACAGTCTACTCAAATTTCCCTCCTAACAGTCCAGAGAGTTCTAGGAAGCAGAGAGGAGAAAGAAGGCTTAAGGTGGGAAGAAATAAGAAATATGAAGTTGTAGAAGGGAGGTATTTCCTTTTTTTCATGCTCAGGAAATCAGCCTGGTTTGCATTGTGTGTCTTTTCAGATGCCCTCTTCTATCCAAATGTGGCTGTTGCCATGTTACTGTTTTGCATCCCCGGATCTGGGCAAGGATTTCTCTCCCTAGCCCCCCAAGGGTACTGGTGACTCAGCTCCTCCTCTCCTCTGGCTGCAGTCAAGGGAGGATGGAAGATGCTGAGAACAGAGACTATTTTGGCTTCTCTGACCTTCAAAGGGAACTCTTGGCAGCCAGGGGCAAGGGTGGGGCTGGTCTGGGGTGTCCGTGGGTAGAAGCTACTGTGCTGTGGTCCTGGAACTGGCCAGGATGGGGAGGGTTAAGGGGAAGAGTTCAGAGTTGGAGAGCGGAGGCACACCCATTGGGAGTGTGTGCTAGAGCTGTCCAGGTCTGGTCCTTCTTGTGAGTTCTGCCATACTTCACTGTCTGTGATTGAGGTAGATACTAAGGGTCAAGATTGCTATTTAATCCAAATAGCACTGATACTACATTAATAATTCATGCCTAGAAAGAAACCTTGAAACTGATGTCCTGGTGATTCCTAGCAGTCCTTGTTAACTCCTTCATTGAAAGGCTGGAAGTTCCCCACCCTTTTAGACCCTACCTCCCAAGCCTAAGAATCCCCAGGGTCAGTGGCTACATAGTTGCTGTGCTGTGCTGCTTAGGACAGGCCCCCACATAGTTCCCAGGGTCCCTGTATCCCACCCCATGGTTAAGAACTGTGTGTACTTAACAATTTCAAACTGCACTCCCCCCAAGTGAGCTGGATTTCTCCTGCCTTTGTTTCTATAGCCCTGGTTTAGAAGAAGGCTCCGTTGGGCATGTGTCCCATCCCCCACTCCACCCTCCCTTTGCCCCCTCCCCCTTTGTCTCCTGCCCTTGCAGGGACTGAAGGTCACTCCCTGTGTCCATCTGAGGGGGAGGCAGCAGATGGTTTCCAATAAGAGAGGGAGAGCACAAGCAGAGCTGTTCCATCCCTACTCTGAGCCCTAGTGCAAGGCTTTGGTCTTTCCACTGATGTTAAAAGAATGTTTCTTAACTAAGCAGGGTTGGGAGAAGGGTAGTGTGGGCCACGGGAGATCAGCCTGGCTCTTTGAACTGCTAGACAATCCCTAAACCCCCAAGGCCAAGCAGATGCCCTAAAACACTGACATTGCAAGGCAAAGAAATGGTTAAGTCTCCGGTGCCTCGTCAGGGACCAGCCCTCCTCCCCGCCCTGGTGCCGCCCTCCCATCAAGCCCCCCCCACCCCACCCTAAGTGCCGCAGACTCTTTCCTGAAGCTGCCGGCTGAGGCCGGAGTGGCCGCCTCCATGAGGGGTTCCCTCTCACACCCCAGGGTGAGAACTGACTGAAGGGCTTGGCATGGCAGGGTGAGGGTGCTGTGGAGGGGCGGTGGGATGGGGTCCCAGGAAGGGAGCCAGTACATGGCGATTTGGTGTGTCTGGTGCTGGCCAGGCAGGGTGGGCAGGCTGGAAAATGAAAAGAAAAAATGAGCATGACTGGCTGGGGTCGGCCAGGACCCGGACTCTGGAGCAGGCCAGTGGCGCTGTGACAGGCCGCCACTCCAGCTGGGCGGGGGTGGGAGACGTGGCCGGGGTAGCACCCGCGTGTTTCTGCTGGCCTTGCCAGACAGCCAGGGGCTCGGCGGAGTTTGGGGGCTCTGTTTTTGGCGAGAGGCAGGAGATTCTGAGACGGGGGTATTATGAGAATGCGCCTAATGGGAGGGTCTCTGGGTGTCAGCCGGTAGATCGCTCAGCTGCTCGGTGTGGGGGTGATGGGGCAGGGAGTTTTTGCCAAGTAAGGGAAGGTGGGGAACACTATGGAAAAGAAGGAAGGAGAGGTCATCCGGACATGGCACACGCCTCTTCACCATCCAGCCGGTTTGCATGGGCTCTGCCACCCTAGTCTCCGTGGCCAGCTTGAGACTGGGGCTCCAAGGCCCCTTTCTAGCCCCCCTGAGGCCACTCCGGAGACAGAGCGCTCCCTGCCAGCAGCTGCCCCACATTCCCAGGCCAGCTGGCCCCACCCCCACTTCATCTCGGTTCTTCTTCCCAAGATGGGGGCTCTGGAACAGAGGAGCCGGTTTCTTCCTCTCCACTTCCCCCCATCCCCACCCCCCATGCAGAGGCAGCCAAGAAAATGACTTGTCATGCTGGGGTGGGGGGTGGGGGCGGAGCTGGAGGCTGAGCTCAGCGCGCACACTCACACACACTCACACACTGCGGCACACTGCAGCTGCCCGGGCGCCCCCTCCCTTCTGCCTCACTGCAGAGACACCTGCCCTCCTGCCTGCTTGGTCTCCGCTCCCTGCTACCCGCCAGAGCCCCACTCCTGGCTGAGGAGAGCCCCCCTGCCCCAAGACAGACCCCTCTCCAAAGAAAAAGGGACGACAAATCAAGGTGCTGGAGAAACAGGGCTCTCCCCTAGGCCTGAGAGGGGTGCAGGATATAAACCATGTGTTGTAAGTCAGAACTGCTCCCCAGGCATAGGGCTAGGAACACAGGTGGGGTCCTATGCCAGGACAGACTGGCATCAGAGAAGTCCTGACTGTAAGGCTGTGAGGCTGGTAGATAGAAGGCAAATCAGTTTGAACCATACCTATCAAGCCTCACCAAGCTCAAGACTATCACCTTGTTTGTGGCTGGCAGCTGGTTTGACTTACCCAAGCTCTGCCTCTGCTTGCCTCTGATGTGGCTGTCACCCTCTAACTGACCTCAAAGATTCCCCAGTGCCCAAGTCCATAGACAAAAACCCTTAGGCCTTTCTTGGGCCCAGCACATCCTGTGTGGGACTTAAGCTTCTGACACCATCACAGACTTTGCTTCCCCACAGCTGCATCCACAGCTCTGTACTGACAAATCTGCTTGATCCTGGCCCTGTAGCTCTTCCTCTGAACAAAGCCCCTGGATCCAGGTTTTTCTTTCTGAGCCCCAGAAAGAAAAGACAGTTGGGCCACAGGAGTGAGCTGGGGAGCAGGTTATGAACACTCTCCCCACAGACTCCTCCAGATAACCCATCTGTTGGGTTCCCTGTTTAGAAGGTTAACTCTCATGTGGCTGCAGGTGGGAAGGGGTTGGTGGGGGTAGAACCAGGACAGTAGCATCCCTCCTCAGCACTCTGCTGCCCCATCAGTTTCTTTATCTGTGTCTTGATGTTTCTGTGAGTCTGGAGAAGGACAGTCAATAGGAAGCTGGGGGATGTCTTCTTTTTCTCTGTGGCCTGAGGAACACCCTGAGTGTCTCCTCCCTTATGTGTTTCTTGTTTATGAATCCCTCACTCCCCATCTCCATGGTAGAAGGCCTATAAGAGGGAAGAAATAGAAACTGTTCACAGGAGTGGGTTGTGGAGTGGTGAACCAAGCCTCTCTGGAGCCTGGAACATGAAGGTGCAGGGGGAGAGGAGCTGTTAAGCATTCTGGGCAGCAACAGTATGCATGTGTGTAGGTGCCGCTTGGCCACTGAGGAGCCAGAGAATGGACCCATGACCGAGAGCCCTGTGTGAGCTCTTTGAATTGGAAAACCACAAGAGACAGAGATAATACAGGTGTCTCTGAGTCATTTGGAGCAGGCATTTTGGCCTTGATGGGATTTGGGAAGACAGATGGGGAGTCTGTAAACACTTCCCCAAAGTTCTCATCTCCTTATTCTCAGGTATTCTGCTGGCAGAAAGTCCAGGGCAAAGGCAAGCTAGTGTGGAAGGCTCAGTAAGGCTGCAGCCCTCTCCAGCTGAGCTCCCCATCCCCAGGCAGCACCAGGAGCCCAGTGCTCCACAGGGACAAAAGCTTCTTGTCAACAGGGCCTGTGAGGCACAGAGTTCTGGAAAGAGGGGTGGGGCGTGGGCATCAGAGGGTGTGGCGGATGATGGGAGGGCAAAGCCAGCTAATATAGGAAAGGGCAGAGGAAAACCCTGAAGGAAAAAAGCTACAGAACCCAGTCCTCAGACCTTATCTGCCAGTATCTGAGGTGGCAGGGTCTGAAGATATCGAGGCTTCTCTCTTCCCTAAATCCCACTTTCCAATCATGTCTTCTTTCCTCTCCTGCCCTACAAAAGCTGCTCCACTTTAGTCAATACCTACTGTATTCAATACAAGTTCCTACATCTTTCTCTCAGGCCAGAGGACCCTCTGCCACCAGAGTGACACCCTAGAGACCGTCATCCTGGTAAACCCCAGTGCAGACAGCATCAGCTCTGAGGTAAGGCCAGGGCCTGTCCCTGGCTGCATGTGCTGTGACCAGCCCTTGCCAGTGCTGCTACTTGAAAGCCAAAAAACCTCTGCCATCCAGACTGGCTCTGGAGGCACTTGTGGGGACCAGCGGGGAGCATGTCCTTGTGGTAAGGAATGTCAATGTCTCTCCCTGGGCTGTCCACATCTGTAACCACTTCCCTCCTTCCACTCCAGGTTCACCATCTCCTTAGCAACCCATCGGCTCACAAACTACTCATCTTAAGTGGGCAAAGTCTAGAGCCTGGGGGAGACCTCATCCTGCAGAGTGGTACCTATTCCTATCAAGACTTTGTCCAGGTCCTTCACAACCCAGAGGTAAGTTCAGTCAACAGCTTAGGGTCTGGGAGGAAGGGGATAGGGCTGGAGCTGTAGGAGGAATCCAAGGAAGGGAAAGTCTCATGTTGCTTGATCTTGGGGGCCCTGATAGGAAAGGAAAAGTCCATCTTGGACAGAGGTGACATTAGGGGCTGAGTCTGAGTCAGGCTAAGACAACCCCCGTGACCTGATCAGCTTCTATCTCCCATTCCTCTAGATTTCCCAGTTGTTCAGCAATAGAGACCCTGGGATCCAGGCTCTTCTCACTGTGTCCTGCATAGGGGAGGGTGATTGGAGCCACCTGGGCTTGTCCAGTTCCCAAGAGACCCTGCATCTCCGGCTGAACCCTGAGCCCGCACTACCCACCATGGATGGCGTGGCTGAGTTTTCTGAGTACGTCTCTGAGACTGTGGATGTGCCGTCTCCTTTTGACCTGCTTGAGCCCCCCACCTCAGGGGGCTTCCTCAAGCTCTCCAAGCCTTGCTGCTACATCTTCCCAGGTGGCCGTGGGGACTCTGCCCTCTTTGCTGTCAATGGATTCAACATCCTGGTGGATGGGGGTTCTGATCGCAAGTCCTGCTTCTGGAAGCTGGTGCGGCACCTAGACCGCATTGACTCGGTGCTGCTCACGCACATTGGGGCAGACAACCTGCCAGGCATCAATGGACTCCTGCAGCGCAAAGTGGCAGAGTTAGAGGAGGAGCAGTCCCAGGGCTCCAGCAGCTACAGTGACTGGGTGAAGAACCTCATCTCCCCTGAACTTGGTGTGGTCTTCTTCAATGTGCCCGACAAGCTGCGGCTGCCTGATGCCTCCCGGAAGGCCAAGCGCAGCATTGAGGAGGCCTGCCTCACTCTTCAGCACCTAAACCGCCTGGGCATCCAGGCTGAGCCTCTCTACCGTGTGGTCAGCAACACCATTGAGCCGCTGACCCTCTTCCACAAAATGGGCGTGGGCCGGCTGGACATGTATGTCCTCAACCCCGTCAAGGACAGCAAGGAGATGCAGTTTCTTATGCAGAAGTGGGCAGGCAATAGTAAAGCTAAGACGGGCATTGTGCTGGCCAATGGGAAGGAGGCTGAGATCTCAGTGCCCTACCTGACCTCTATCACTGCTCTGGTAGTCTGGCTGCCAGCCAACCCCACTGAGAAGATTGTGCGTGTGCTTTTTCCAGGAAATGCTCCCCAGAACAAGATCTTAGAGGGCCTGGAAAAGCTCCGGCATCTGGACTTCTTGCGCTACCCTGTAGCCACACAGAAAGACCTGGCTGCTGGGGCAGTGCCTGCCAACTTGAAACCCAGCAAAATCAAACAGCGGACTGACAGCAAGGAGAGCCTCAAAGCTGCTACCAAGACAGTAGTGAGCAAGCTGGCCAAGCGGGAGGAAGTGGCAGAAGAGGGAGCCAAGGAGGCCCGCTCGGAGTTGGCCAAGGAGTTAGCCAGGACAGAGAAAAAAGCAAAAGAGCCACCTGAGAAGCCCCTAGAGAAGCCTGCCAAGCCTGAGAGGGTGAGGACAGAGTCCAGCGAGGCACTGAAAGCAGAGAAACGAAAGTTGATCAAAGACAAGGTAGGAAAGAAGCACCTGAAAGAAAAGATATCAAAGCTGGATGAGAAAAAAGATAAGGAGAAAAAAGAGATCAAGAAGGAGAGGAAAGAACTCAAGAAGGATGAAGGAAGGAAAGAGGAGAAGAAAGATACCAAGAAAGAGGAGAAGAGGAAAGACACCAAACTTGAGGTCAAGAAAATTTCCAAACCAGACCTGAAGCCCTTTACCCCGGAGGTACGTAAAACCCTCTACAAAGCGAAGGCCCCTGGAAGAATCAAAGTGGACAAGAGCCGTACTGCCCGGGGGGAGAAGGAGCTATCTTCTGAGCCTCGGACACCCCCAGCTCAGAAGGGCACCGTGCCACCCCCACCTGTCAGTGGACACAGGGAGCTGGCCCTCTCCTCTCCAGAAGACCTCACACTGGATTTTGAGGAGATGAAGCGTGAGGAGAGGGAACAAAGGGACACAGGACTAGGAGACAAACCAGTCTCTCTCTATAGGACAGAAGAGGGACCCCCAAGCATAGCACAGGAAGAGCATGTCATGAAGGAGAAAGAAGTCATCCCCACCATAGCTAAGGAACAAGGCAGCAAGGATAGAGGCCCAGACAGTGGGGCTGAAACTGAGGAGGAAAAAGAAACTTGGGAGGAAAAGAAGCAGAGGGAAGCAGAGAGGCTCCCAGAGAGAGCAGAAGCCAGGGAGGAAAGTGAACCTGAGGTAAAGGAGGATGTGATAGAAAAGGCTGAGTTAGAAGAAATGGAGGAGGTGCACCCTTCAGAAGAAGAGGAAGAGGAAGAGACAAAGGCTGAGGGTTTTTATCAAAAACATATGCAGGAAGCCTTGAAGGTCATCCCAAAGGGCAGGGATGCTCTTGGGGGCAGGGAACTGGGACTCCATGGCAAGGCCCCTGAGAAGGAGACCTCCTCGTTCCTAAGCAGCCTGGCCACACCTGCTGGGGCCACTGAACATGTCTCTTATATCCAGGATGAGACAATCCCTGGCTACTCAGAGACTGAGCAGACCATCTCAGATGAGGAGATCCACGAAGAACCAGAGGAACGCCCTGCTCCAGCCAGATGCCCTGCAGGTACATATGACCTTCCTGGGCCTGAAGGTCCTGGCCCCTTTGATGCCAGCCAGCCTGCAGATGGTGCTGTTCCTGCCACCTCAAGCAAAGGCTATGGAGCACCAGAGACGGAACTCACCTACCCCCCCAATATAGTGGCCGCCCCTCTGGCTGAAGAAGAACATGTATCTTCTGCTACTTCAATCACTGAATGTGACAAACTTTCCTCCTTTGCCACCTCAGTGGCTGAAGACCAGTCTGTGGCATCACTCACAGCTCCCCAGACAGAGGAAACAGGGAAGAGCTCCCTGCTGCTTGACACAGTCACAAGCATCCCCTCCTCCCGCACTGAAGCCACTCAGGGATTGGACTACGTGCCATCGGCGGGAACCATCTCACCCACCTCCTCACTAGAAGAAGACAAGGGCTTCAAATCACCTCCCTGTGAGGACTTCTCCATGACTGCAGAATCAGAGAGAAGAGGAGAAGTCACAGGGAGACGTTCAACTGGGGAGAGAGCTGTGGAAGAGAAAAAGGAGAGGGCAAATGTGGAAGTATCTGAGAAACTTGGTGGTCAATATGGAACCACTGTGTTCGTTGCCCCTGGGCATGCTATACAACCAGGGGAAGCCATCCTTGGAGAAGCAGAGGAGCGGTGCCTTAGCCCAGATGACAGCACGGTGAAGATGGCCTCCCCTCCACCATCTGGCCCCCCCAGTGCAACCCACACACCCTTTCATCAGTCCCCAGTGGAAGACAAGTCTGAGCCCCAAGATTTTCAAGAAGACTCTTGGCAAGATGCTAAGCACACACCAGACAGGGGCAAGGAATATGCAGCAAAGGAGACAGTCACCCCAGGGCCTGAAGAGGGCTCACTAGAGAAGGAAGAAAAGGAAGCTCCTCCCAGGAGTCCTCAAGCCCAGAAATCACCCATCAGCATTGCTGGGGGACATACAGGCTGCACCATCCAGCTGTTGCCAGAACAAGACAAAGCAATAGTCTTTCAGACAATGGAGGCAGGAGAGACCATGGAGGTGGGAATTGGGTTCCCAGGCCCAATTCAGGGAACAGAGTCCCTTCCCAGGGAATTGAGGACATCACTCCAAGAGCCTGGCCAATCTCAGAAAGATGAGGTGCTCCAAATTCCTGACCAAAGCCTCTCCCCTGATGATGCAGAGTCCCTCTCTGTCCTCAGTGTAGTTTCCCCAGACACTGCCAAACAAGAACCCACTCCCAGGTCACCCTGTGGCCTGACAGAGCAGCACCTACATAAAGACCTATGGCCTGAGATATTGACAGAAGATACCCAGTCTCTTTCTGTCTCAGAAGAGAGTCCCAGCAAGGAAACTTCTCTGGATATCTCTTCAAAGCAGCTCTCTCCAGAAAGCCTTGGTACCCTCCAGTTTGGGGATCTTGGAAAGGAAGAAAAAGGGCTTCTGATGCAGGCTGAGGATGTCTCTCGCCACCTAGCTCCTTTGTCTGTTCCAGAGCCCTATGAAGCTACAGTGTCACCTCCCATAGACACGGTCACTGGGTACTCTGCACAGGCAGACATCACAGCCAAGAGCCCTGACAGGAAGCTACCTGCCGGCTCCCCTCACTCTTCCCTGTCTGGAGATGGGAAGTGTTCGCCTGGGGTGATCACAAGCCCTGGTGAGCATATTCTGACACCCAGTAGCTCCCTCACTAAGAGTCCTGAGTCTTTGCCAAGCCCTGCCATGGAAGACATTGCCAAGGAGTGGGAAGATAGGGTTCCAGGGTTGCAAGACAGAAGACCTGAGCAGGAGGACAAGGAACACGAGACAAAGGAGGACATCCTACAGCAGAAAGACAAAACTCTGCAGCAGAAGAGTATTGTAGAGGAGAAGGATGCAGTCGTAGATCATAAAGATGCTCTGGAGGAAAAGAATAAGGTTGTGACATCAGAGGATATAGTTTTAGAACAAAAAGGTATAAACTTGGACCAAAAGGATACAGGCCTAGAACAGAAGAAGGCCTTGGAATTACAAGACAAAGAACAAAAAGACAAAGTCCTGGACCAGAAGGACATGATCTCAGATGAGAAGGCCACAGCCCTGGAGCAAAAGGACAAGACCTTGGGAGAAAAAGACAAAGACTTGGCACAAAAAGACAAAGTACTGGAGCAAAAGGACAGGCTTCCAGAAGAAAAAGACAAGGCCACACCTCTGGGACAAAATGACCAAGTCCTGGAGCCAAAAGACAAAGAACAAAAACACAGCACTTTAGAACAAAAAGACAAGGTCTTGGGACAAGAAGAGAAAGACAAAGCCTTAGAGCCAAAAGTGCAAGACTTTGAACATAAAGAGAAGACCTTAGAGGACAAGGTTTCCGAAACAAAAGGCAAAGCCCTAGAACAGACAAGCAAAACCCCTGAACATGAAGACAAGGCCCAGGAACAGAGAGATGAGGTGTTAAAAATGAAAGATCAGGCCTTAGAACAGAAATACTGGGCCTTAGGGAAAAAGGATGAAGCTGTAGAACCAAAGAGTACAGCTGTTGAACAGAAAGATGAGGTGATAGAAGAAAAGTACAAAACTCAGGGGCAGGAGAGCTTTGAGCAGGAAGATAAAAGTGGGAAACCAAAAGAGACCACTGTAGACAAAAAAGCTCCAGAAAGTGTCACAACTGTGGGACAGAAGGAAGCAGATTTGCTGGAGACCAGAGCTCTGGGATTGGGAGACAGACCTGTGGAGGATGAGGGCAGAGAGCAGGAAGAGAAGTCCTGGAAGGAGAGGGATGTGGTCCAGGAGTGGCAGGCCCCTTCACCCCGAGGGAGGCCAGCTGGAGAACACAAGGGACCCATCCCTGCATGGGAGGAGACGTCTCCTGAGCAGGAGGTCAGATACTGGAGGGACAGAGAAGATGTAGCTCTGCAACAAGACACATACTGGAAGGAGCTGAGCTGTGAGAGAAAGGTCTGGTTCCCTCACGAGCTGGCCAGCCAGGGGGCCCACACACGGTACCCTGAGGAACGAGAGAGCACTTTCCTCTGTGAAGGACTGGAGGAGCCAGAAGTGCTCCCACAGCAGCACACAGCCCGGAGCCCATGGGCTTCAGACTTCAAGGATTTGCAGGAGCCCCCGCCACAGAAGGGACTGGAAGTGGAACGATGGCTTGCTGAGTCACCAGTTGGCCTGCCCCCTGAGGAAGAGGACAAGCTGACCCGCTCTCCCTTTGAGATCATCTCCCCTCCATCCTCCCCACCTGAGATGGTGGGACAGCGGGGTCCTCCTACCCCCAGACAAGCAAGCCCTAGTCCTGAGATGAAGCCTATGCCACCCATGAGGAGTGAACCTACTGCTCCCTCCTGGCTGGCTGACATTCCACCATGGGTGCCTAAGGACAGACCCCTACCCCCAGTACCCCTCTCCCCAGCTCCAGCTCCCCCCACACCTGCCCCAGAGCCTCACACGCCTGCGCCCTTCTCCTGGGGCACTGCAGAGTACGACAGTGTGGTGGCCGCAGTGCAGGAGGGTGCTGCTGAGTTGGAAGGCGGGCCATACTCTCCACTGGGGAAGGACTACCGCAAGGCTGAAGGGGCAGGGGAAGAAGGAGGTGGGGCTGAGGCTCCTGACAGCAGCCCCTGCAGCTCTAAGGTCCCTGAGGCCAGTGAGAGCCACACCAAGAGGGACACAGAGCAGACAGAGTCAGAGCAGAGAGAGCCCACACCCTACCCTGAGGAGAGAAGCTTCCAATATGCGGACATCTATGAGCAGATGATGCTGACCAGCCTTGGCCCTGCATGCCCCACCAGGGAGCCTCCACTCGGGGCAGCTGGGGATTGGCCCCCATGCCTCTCGAGCAAGGAGGAGGCCACCGGCCAAAATGTGCCTGTAGAGAAAGAGCTGTCCTCTCCTGGCTCCTCCAAAAGCCTCCAGCCTGACACTTCAGCCTTTAGCTATGCAGCCTTGACAGGACCCATGGCGCCCCCCAGGCAGGAGCCTGAGCTCAGGCCAAGTGTGGAGGACAGCCTCACCCCACCCGCTGTGCCCCCTCGTGCTCCCATCCCTGTGAGCAAAGGCCCGAGCCCCCCTTTCAGTGGCAATGCCCTAAGCTGTAGTCCAGATCGAAGAACACCCTCTCCCAAAGAAGCAGGCCGGCATGGCTGGGATGATAGCACAAGTGATTCAGAGCTGGAGAAGGGGGCTCGGGAACAGCCAGAGAAAGAGGCTCAGTCCCCAAGTCCCCCTTCCTCCACTTCTGGGGGGGCCTCCACACTGTGGCCTGAAACTGAGGCACACACAAGCCCTTCCTTGGACTTGCACCTGGGCTCTGCTCGACCAAGCCTGGACTTTCCTGCTTCAGCCTTTGGCTTTTCCTCATTGCAGCCTGCTCCCCCTCAGCTGCCCTCCCCAGCTGAACCCCGCTCCGCTCCCTGTGGCTCCCTTGCCTTCTCTGGGGACCGAGCTCTGGCTCTGGCCCCGGGACCTCCAACCAGAGCCCGGCATGATGAGTATTTGGAAGTGACCAAGGCCCCCAGCCTGGACTCCTCCCTGCCCCAGCTCCCATCCCCCAGCTCCCCTGGGGCTCCCCTCCTCTCCAGCCTGCCAAGACCTGCCTCCCCAGTCCTGTCTGAAGGCTCCTCCTCTGAGGCTACAACGCCAGTGATTTTAAGTGTGGCTGAGCGCTGCCCTCCAGGCCTGGGGGCTGCAGAACACAAGTCTGGAGAACTGGAGCCAGGAATGGAACCACCTGCCCCTAGCCTCTGGGACCTCACACCTTTGAGCCCAGTGCCCCTGGCTTCACTGGACTTGGCCCCAGTTCCAGCCCTTCCTGGAGACATGGATGGTAGCTCCCTGCCCTGCAGCCTGGAGTGTTCGGGGGATACCACCAAGAAGCCAAGCCCCTTGCAGGGCCTCTCTGGGGATGGTGCAGCCAATGGCCCAACTGAAACCAGTCCAAATCCCCCTGGCCCTGCCACAGCCAAGACTGAGAAGGAAGAGGCTGGAGCCTGCCCTGCTTGGGAACAAGGGGCCTGGCCTGAGGGAGCTGAGAGAAGTACCCGGCCTGACACACTGCTCTCCCCGGAGCAGCTTTTGTGTTCCGCAAGGGGACCTGGGGGTCCACCCCACAACATCTCTCCTGAGGCTGAGCCTGGGCCTCAGGGTTGTGCTGCTGAGCCCCGGCCCCACTGTGGCGAGCTCTCTCCATCCTTCCTGAACCCACCTCTGCCACCACTCACAGACGACAGTGACCTATCCACTGAAGAAGTTCGGCTGGTAGGAAGAGGGGGACGGCGCCGCACAGGGGGTCCAGGGCCCACAGGGGGCCCATACCCTGTGGCTGATGAAACTCCTCCGACATCAGCCAGTGACTCAGGCTCCTCACAGTCAGATTCTGATGTCCCACCAGAAACTGAGGAGTGTCCGTCCATTACAGCGGAGGCAGCCCTCGACTCTGATGAAGATGGGGACTTCTTGCCTGTGGACAAAGCTGGGGGGATCAGTGGAACTCACCATCCCAGGCCTGGTCATGACCCACCACCCATCCCTCAGCCAGACCCTCACCCATCCCCTCCCCGCCCTGATGTGTGCATGGCTGACCCTGAGGGACTCAGCTCAGAGTCTGGGAGGGCAGAGAGACTACGGGAGAAGGAGAAGATGCAGGGACGAGTGGGGCGCAGGGCTCCGGGCCGGGCCAAACCAGCATCCCCTGTGCGGCGTCTGGATCTACGGGGAAAACGGTCCCCCACCCCTGGTAAAGGGCCTGTAGATCGAGTATCCCGGGCTCCACCCCGACCACGCAGCACTCCAAGCCAGGCCACCCCAGCAGAGGAAAAGGATGGACACAGCCCCATGTCTAAAGGCCTCGTCAATGGACTCAAGGCAGGACCCAGTGAGTATTGTGGAGAGCAGAAGGGTGGGTTGGGGCTGAGTGTGGACTGGTCTGAAGGCTCCAGCAGTGGGAGAGGGGGGAAGGTGCCCAAGCTTCCTGCTTTTCCTCCACAATGTCTCCTGGCTTGTCTCCACAGTGGCCTTGGGGGCCAAGGGTGGCTCTGGCCCCCCTGTATATGTGGATCTCGCCTATATCCCGAATCATTGCAGTGGCAAGACTGCTGACCTTGACTTCTTCCGTCGTGTGCGTGCATCCTACTACGTAGTCAGTGGGAATGACCCTGCCAATGGCGAGCCAAGCCGGGCAGTGCTGGATGCCCTGCTGGAGGGCAAGGCCCAGTGGGGAGAGAATCTTCAGGTAAGTAGCACCAGAGTGCTCTGGCCAGACCTCCCTCAGTGTACAGTAGGGCGCTGTCATAAATAAAAAGAGCCCCTCCCCCTCCCCTTCCACTCACACCCTCACCTCTGATGTCTCATTTCCTTCCCAGGTGACTCTGATCCCTACTCATGACACGGAGGTGACCCGTGAGTGGTACCAGCAGACTCATGAGCAGCAGCAGCAGTTGAATGTCTTGGTCCTGGCTAGCAGCAGCACTGTGGTCATGCAGGACGAATCCTTCCCAGCCTGCAAGATTGAGTTCTGAAAGAACTACCCTCCCTTCCCAAGGATCCACTCCCCCAGCTCCTCTAGAGAATGGCTACTGCTGTGTCCTCTGGGGTTGAGGGAGATGGAGCTAGGATTAGGGGGACGTCTTGTGGGGACTTGGGCTGGGCTAAATGGAAGGTATTGATCTCCCCTCATCCATTCCTGACAGGTCTCAAAACTGAAAGTAGTAAGAGAGAGGACAAGGGAAAGTACTGAGGATAGGAGGTCATCTCATACCCAAGGACCCCAAGTGCGGCCCTTGCGCAGCACTGTCAGATACTGGTATTGGATGGGGCATGAGGATGGGTCTCAGAGGGCAGCCTCCTCTTGTGGAAGGAGACTGTACCCCCCACCCCAGGAACCTCCTTATGTCTATTTAATCCCAGGAAGGATTCCTGATGCTAATTTATGTCACCTGGGGGTAGGCTACTGTCAGTGAGGTACCCAGAGCTGCACACTTTCCTCCATCTGCCATCTCCTCACCCACCAGGGCCTGGGGGTATACCGCTGCTACGCTGTCCTACTGCTTCCCTCAGTATCTGAATGTCTCAATCCAAAACTTGAAGCTCTTTAGACCAACAGACTGGTGAGAGGACAGAGGAACTTACCTCCCAGCCACTGCTTCACACCATCCACATCCTAGGGCTGTGCCCACACCAGGTCTACTGGGCGGCATGAAAGGGCAAAGAGAGCCCAGCCCCAACTCCAGGATCCTTCCATGCTCCCTGACCCTTTGACGTTTTCACCTAACCCATGCCAGTGACCCCAGCCCCTTCTCATCCCCTGCTTGGCTTCTCTGCATGTGGTCATCTGCTGTAGCCTGGTGTGTAATGGGTTAAAAATAAGCCACTGCCTGACATCCCAACATCTGACATCCCAGCCATGTGTGACTCCCCCAACATTCCACTGTGCCATCCTGCAGCTGAAATGGGAATGCGGGCTGCCTTTCCAAACCCAAACTCTTGGACAGAGGACCTGGGAAGTGGAGACCAGGCCAGAGAACTTGGGAAAATGAGGAAGGAACAGGGAGAGGAGGCTGAGCTAGGGCTTAATGCCTACAGTGTGACATGAAAGCAGGCTGAAAACTCCACCCCAGGAGAGGACTTGCCCCCGGCCAGCCAGTGAGCAGCCCTGACAGACTACCATGGGACTGAGAAGCCCAGGCACTAGTTGTCCTGGGGCTCACTTTCCCTGCTGAGTAACTGGGCCACCAAGTGAGCCCACCTTGTGTCCTTCCTAGCTCCCCCTCCCTGTGCTGCTGTGCTCTGCTTCTCCCTACACTCCCGCTATTGTTCCCAGCTGCTGTGACAAAGCTGCTGAGTCTAACAATAAACCAAGTTCATTGCGGACTGTGTGGTGTGGTGCTGCCCGGGCTTTTGTGGACTCCATACATTACAGGGCGCCGGGTTCTGACTTCCACCTCTGTTTTACCCAATATCATCATTTATCTTGAAAGATTCTTTTAACCCCTAGAAGCAGTTCCATGACCCAGGGGAGAGTCAGGGTGGGTGAAGAAGCAGATGCAGAGATAGAATCATTTCTGAAAATGGGTGGAATGCCTGAGGACAGGATGAGGAGCTTCAGGGGTGGGGAATCTCCTTGGAATGTTGTTTCTGTAGAGCTGTGGACCAAATAACCAGGATCTGACACTGTGGACAGGGGAGTACAAAGGGAAGAGGGGTGAGAGGTTCCAAGCCTGTTGAGGTTGAGAACACAGCCTCACTGTGCAGTCTCTGAATATTTTCCCCAAAGTAAGGGCCCTTCAGCATTTTCTGCCCCCACAGAATAAAGATTTGAGCCCCTCTGGCGTCCCAGGTAGGTCAGAAATGGACAGGTTACAAATAGGTTACACATACCAGGAGGCAACAGTCTAGTCTTCCCAGCATTCAGGCTCTCCCAGTCTAAGGACATCAATGGGGTTGAAAGAGGGTGTTACCTCTCAATATGGACTCCTGACTTAATTCCAAGGATTTGGTGAGAAACTAGGCACCTGCTGGTGCCTCATGGGGCTTAAATCTCTTTGCACTCCAACTACCCTGCACTCCACTTATTAAAGACATTTGGAATGGTGGACTGACTACCTCAGGGATCTTCTGGGATGGCAGATCTCTGTAGTGTTACATCCCATTTCTGTTAAACTATGACAGCTTCCAACTGATTCAGATTTAGTTAAAGATACAATGGAGTCACAGTCATATTCACTCTAAAATTCACAAGAACATCATCACTACCACCACCATTCTGATTGTTTCGTATTTATTGAGCACTCAAAATGTTCCGGCCCCCAACTCTAATAACTGCATTATCCCTTCTACCCACTCCCACTTGTATCCCCAGATCTTTGGGAAAAGCTTCAGAATCACATCTGGTCCTAAAGACACATGATATGAAACAATTTTCTTGGGGACCCTGGAGTGTTTGGTCTTTGGCCAGTCTGTGCCTTGTCCCTTGCAAACTATAGAAATATATTCTCATCTTCATAATGTTGATCTGTGCTAATCTCTTAAAATAGAACCTGATTCTGTCTATGACAGCATCTCCCAGGCCAAAAAGCCCCACAGCAAAGAGGGCCCAGCCTCAGAGTGTCGCCAGGAGTCACTCTGAAACTGCTCAGCACACTAATACCTACTTTTCCCTAGAGCAATTGCTCAGAGGAGCAGAAATGGGGCACAGAGGGCACCTGGAGATAATGAGGAGACACCCGTAAGCTCAGTCTAAGAGTAGTGGCTATGACAGACATTTGTTTGGGAAGGAAACTATGTTCCAGACATTTCAGATGGTCATCTTGGTTCTGCCTGAGGATTGCTAGTAAAGACCAGAGTCTCCCTGCCCCTGGCATGCATGATTTAAAGGGTACATTGAGATGTGGTGGATGTTTTCCTGTATAGACCTTGGAGTCCCTTTTCACACTTGTTGGCCCCTACTGGCCCTTTGCTGGTCTTTAGCATTTTAGCCATTTCCTTTAACAATCTGGAATTTCCTGCAGTGCTCAGAGTAGGTTAGGTATTGACAGATCAACTACCCCAAGAAAATCCCATTCCAGTCTAACGGCTAAACAAGGAGCCAAAGGCTGTTTTGAACATGAAACTAACCTTCCCCACATGCAGCCCTGGCACAAGTGTTTGCTTCATGCCAAGAGGCCTGCTTTCACAGATACCTCTGTGGCAGGCTACTCCTCTCTCTGGCTGCTGAGAGCCAACAGAAAAGGCTACTGGCACAAATGGCTGGTGAAGTGTGACACCACTAATGAGAAAAAGGTTGATTACATGTTTCTGGTGCAAGGGGTAAGTGCTGGTCATGAAATGGAGACTGGCTTTGAGGGCCTGGGTCACTCTGCAGATATTGAGCTTGGGGGACATCCTCTATAGGCAGCTTACTGATCACCTCAGGGACCACCCAAGACTGCTGACTAACCTCCTCAGGGACTTCCTGGGCCTCCAAATCAACTTTGCCAGGGAGCTCTTGGGACTTTTTATTAACCTCAGGGATTTCTTGAGAGGACAGGCTGACCACAGAAGCCTCTTGAGCCAACTTGCCAACCTCTACAGAGAACTCCTGGCATGGCTGGCTGCACTCTTTGGGGATCTCTTGGTTTGGCCTGTCAACCTCCACAAGGGTTTCCTGGACCAGGCTCCCAACCCCTACAGGGAACCCATGGACCAGCGGGCCAGCCTCCACAGGCCTCCCTTGGCTTGGCTGGCTGACTTCTTCAGGGTTCTCCTGGCAAAGCTGCCAAATTTCCTCAGAGGCTTCCTGGCACAGTTGATTGGCCTGGCATGGCTGGCATGTATGGTTAACAGAGTCATGGTTCTCCTGACATGGCAGGCTGACCTCAGCAATCTCCTGGCCCTCTGGCTTGCTGGTTTCCACAGGTGACTCCTCCTGCGGGGATTGGTTTGGTTCAAAAAGCACTTGCTGCCCTCCTGTGGGGAGCTCTTGTGTTCTACTTCCAGGGGGCTCCTGGAGCAGCTCAAGTCCTTGGTTCTCGTCAGTCACATGGGCATGCAGTGAGGGCTGGTCACTGAAGCCAAAATGGGAGTTCCCATCCACAGTGGTAGGGGAGGAAGGACCAGCACTGGACACAGTACTGGAAGGGCCACTGCTATCTGTAAAGCAAAGTCAAGAGACCAAGTTAGGCACCGGAAGAGTTGGCTCTACCCTATGCATAGAGTTCAAATGCTAGGATGGATGGTCTGTGCCACGCATGTTTTGGGGAGATGTCTGACTGCTTCCTCAGTTTGGCAGAGACTGCTAAGACTTCCCAGCTCAGGGACTGTGACCCTACTATAGTATTATGGTTTGTGTCTAGTTGTTTCCCCAAAGTCTCATGCAATTATGGGGCGGACTTCTAGAGTTTATGATTAATTCATGATCCAGTGCTGGGATTATGGGTATGAGTGCTACACCTGGCCTGGGGCGGAAAGCCTGAATGCACCATAAGGGAGGCAGACTTGCCCTCTGCGGGCACTGTTGCTGCTGCTCCTCCCTTCTGCTTTTGCTGCTTTGCTGTTTCCTACAGCCATGAATGCTGCCCTCTGCTGTGTGCCGCTCTGCCTTGGAGGCAGCTGAGTATGGACTGAAACCTCCACTAACTGTGAGCTAAATAAACCTTTCTTATAAATAAGTAAATAAATAAACAAACAAACAAGCCTTTCCTTCCTTAACTTTGGGTGCCTGGTATTTTGTCCCAGCCACAACAGAAAAGTAACCGAGACAGAAACAGAAATAAGGCCAATCTACAACTTCAGGAGAGTAATGAGACCCATTTCATCAGGTTATTTCATAGATACCCTCGTGCCTGACTCCAGATTCCATAGCTTTTCATTCCTACCTCAGATGTGTATCAACATGTTAGTCCAATGGTTCATTATTAGGTTATATATAGAAACTGTGAGAAAAGTTTTTAAACCCAAACTTCTAGGTTTCATCTCTAGAAATTCCATTTCTATAGCTGGTGTAAAGGCATGGTAGGGAGAAGGAAAAGGATGAGGATATCACTTTTGGAAACACTCCCACCTTGCGTTAGACTCATTGGAATCATTGTTAAAAGTAAGCAGTGCTTACTTGGGCAGAGTATCCCAACAGACAAGAAAGCAAGAAAACGTAGAAAAAACCCTGTAAGTCAGAACAGTAGGAATGCAAATGGTTTTTGCAAAGATGCAAGACATCATGGCATCAGGAAGAGGCAGTTTGTTTGTTTGTTTATTTATTTAGTACAGGGTCTCACTGCACAGCCCAGATTCATAATGATCCTCCTGTCTCAGCCTCCCCAGTGCTGGGATTATAGGTGAGCACCACCACACCTGGTTTTGTGGCTGGCACAGCATGCAGTACCGGGGATAGAACCTAGGTCCTTGCACTTGCCAGGCAGGTGCCTAGACTACCGAGCTACCTCCCCAGCCCATGGCAAGATTTTTGTGTTTTTTTTTTTGTGTGTGTGTGTGTGTATGTGTTTATTTTTACAGTCCTGGGCCTCATGTATGCTAGGGGAGCACTCTACCACTGAGCTACATCCCTAGTCTTTTTTATTTTATTTTGAGGCAGGATCTTGCTAAGTTGGCCAGGCTGCTCTCAAACTTGCAATCCTCTTGTCTCAGCCTTTTGAGCAGCTACAATTACATGCCAGCACCACCGTGCCTGGCTGGCAGAAGTTCTTAGTCTTTCTGGGAGTTGCTGACCCCTCCAAAGCACTAGAGAAAGCCATGAATTGTCATCCAAGAAAGGTTTATGTTTGCAACTGTTCATATTCATCTTTACATATGATCACTAGAGCTCACACACTTTCCTGAAGCCTATCCATAGATACAAGGTTAAGATACTACATCTTGGGACATATAATGTTACAGAACTGTATATATTGTATACATATAAAAATATAAAAACTAATTTATAAACTAAACTAGTGTTATAAAGACTTTAGAGTCTTCAATTATACTGTGGGCAGATTCCAATCACAATCTCAGACTAATTTTTCCCTTTCCAACCATTATATTCACCAACAATATTGCAACTATATATTAAAGCACTACTGTATCAATAATGATAGATTCAAAAACAGTAAACACCTGACTATACAGTCATCAAAATATTTCCAAGCCTGAGCCTGCAAATATTCACTCAGTTGCTGAGCCCAAGATATAATAGTTATCTCTCTTCTGTGAAGGGACAGAGGAGGTACGCTTCAAACAGAAAACAAAGAGGAACATGGTTTTGGGCTGTGCCATGTTCTAAAGATATGGAGCCTGTTTCTGGTAAGGACAGAGACTCCCAAAAAGATGTTCATTAATGAAGGTCTGATACTAGAAAGAAAAAACAAGAAAGAAGCAAAGGTGTAAGCCAAGATTTTGCCAAGTATTAGGAGTGGCCTTTCTACACAGCTAGTGGCGGATTCAAGTAAATCAAAGACGTCAGTCAGAAACAGAAGATGGAGAAAATTTTCCACAAACACTTCAGGAGAGAGGAAAAGGGGACAATTGCAAGGTGAATGACAGATAACCTGAAATTCAGCAGAGGAACTCCTGTGTCAGGGAGGAAAGTTTTGGGGCCAGGGAGATAGCTCAGTAGAATAAATGCTTGCCTGGCAAGCGCAAGGGCCTGAGTTCAATCCCTGGTTCTTCCAAAAAATAAAATAAAATAGAGTCTGAGGTACTGAGATCTTAGGCTAGGGAGGAAAGTTTCTCCTTCCTATAGTGTCCAAAGGGCAAAATTCTACAACTGTTAATACTAATGCTTGCAGGGACAGGGGTTTGATCCCCACCATGTCCTGCTGGCCCTGCCCCCAGGGCATGCTGAGACAGCGACTGAGACTGGGTGTGGTATCTCCTGCCTGTAATCCCAACAGGAGGATCACTAGGAGTCTGATCTGTGTAGTGAGACCCTGT